TAAACAACGCAAATAGTATGTAGTCTAAGCTAATGGTAAAAAAAAAAATAATAATAACAAGGTAAAATATTAAAAAATAATAGAAAATTCATACTTTTTATTCTATACAAAAAAACTTTTAAAATAGTAGTACTTAAATCTAACCAAGTTCTAAAATGTATATGGTATACTGTTATCAAACTAATAACATTAAAAGGTTATAAGTGATTTTTACCTGCTTAATACTTTAAATATATAAGTATCTACATAAAGTAATTGAAAACATAGGAAACATAAAATCATTATTATTTTCATCTAATACACTACAAAATAAATTAATAAGCCCTTTCATACAATAAATATATGGATGGTAATCAAAAATTAAAAATATAACAGTCTTCTATAAATATATTTATACAAAATTATTAAATTTTGAGATATTAACACACATTAAATATAAACAAATAACATCAATATTGAAATGATAATTTCAAACATAATCTCCAACTATATCGGAATGATAGTAAATTTTTATTTAATAAATAACAGCCAATTTGTCAGTCTTAGATACATGACAATTATTCATTGCCTATAAAAAAAAAAAAATTAAATTATTTAAATATACAATTTTAGTATTTTTAAAAGTATTCTAAAATAAATATTTTAAGTTGTACCAAATTATTCGTCATCGGAATCATCTACCAAATTAATGATATTGTCATTTAATACAGGATCAGGGTTTGGCTGAGAGATAAATACTACTTTTTTTTCACGTTCAATATTTTTTTTCTAAAAATAAAAATTAATTATTATATTATCAGTGTCAAATAAATATTACTTATACAAACTTTAACTGGTGAATAAGATGTCTTTTTATTATTAACTACAGATTTATTTGTTTCAACACTTTTAACACGTTTTTCTTTACTGTTTTTATTGAATTCGGTTAATAAAAAATGCTGATGTCCAATAACTCGATTAACCTAAATGAATAAATGCAAATTAAAAATATCTAATGAAATAAACTTAATAAAAAAAAACTTATTAATTTTTATTAATTAACTTTAATAAAAGAATAAAATCTAAAATTGTTTACCCATTTTAATTTCTCTTCATCTTCAATTTTTTCATACTTGCTTCCAATTCCATGTTTTTTAACATGCCATGCCATTTTCTTAGGAGAATCAGATATTTCAAAACATTTTAAGCATTTCCATCTAAAAATCACAAAATTATAATTAAAATTCTTTGCTAAAAAAAAAAAGAAAAAAAACTGGTTACGTTTTATAATTGATTTCTTTATATAAGTGTTCACGGAAAAGTTCTATACTGGAAATTTCAAATTTATTGCACTTAGGACAAACAAAGAAACCATTTGAAGATATTTCTCCTAACTTGTCATTCTTATTGAAAACATCAATCAACATTTTCTGTTTATGAGCTTGAATTGAAGAGCTTTTAGTTGCTGATTTTGGACTTTTTGACATACCACGAGGTTTATTGTTAATTTTCAATGGTGTTGATTCAATAGGAATTCCTCGACAAGTAGGAGGCACAAGTGTAGGTTCAATACTTTCTAAAGCTTGCTGTTCTAAAATGTTTTCTGCACCCCCTGAACGTTGTTGATGCAACTCTTCTTTATCGGTAATCTAAGCATACAAAAAACATTAAAAAAATATAACTCGCCACTAATATGGTTCATATTTATTACAAATTAAAATCTGTGTATTCTTAATTAGAAAATATTTAATCTGATTTAAATATTTCATACTAGTACAAATAATCTAAAATTTATACAAACCATTTCAAATACTCTTAAGCACTTTACTGCTACTGACGGGTGTTTCAATTTATAATGTTCTTCAAAAGTACTAGCATTATCATCCTTGTTTTCAAATTGACACATAGGACATTTATACATACTTGATACTTTATGAGCCATAAAAATATGTGATGTTATCTCATTTTCTGTATATCTTAAACCAGTAGAGCATATATTGCACACCCATTGAGGCACATTAGATGGAGCTATAAAGTAAAAGTAAATTGGTAAATACATATTTTACTTTCTAATTAAGTTAATTTTAGATTAGTTATACACAATAGTACCTTTGCTTCTACCTCTATCAATACAACTATCTTTTAACATTGTTTGTCTGATTACAATGATATTGGATTGAACTGAATTGGTTATTTCTGATAGATGGGTATTTCTCATGTGTGTTTTCATTTCAACTCGATTAAAGTCAATATACTCACAGTATTGACATTTATATAAATTTTCCCCATGGTGCATTAAATGAAATTCTATTTGATTTCGTTCTACAGTTTTGGATATAATGCATGACGGTTGACAATGTGGACATCTATCAAAATACATTTATATTAAATATATGATGATTAATTTATCAAAGAACAATCATAATTTTGAAAAATATTCATTTTTTCAACATTTGTAACATGAAAATTTTTAGATACATGCTCTTCAAGAATCGTATAACATTTAAAATGTAACTATAATTCACTTACATATAACACTGGTAATCGGAATGAAGGATTGATATATGTGTCTTTAGCATTTCCTCTGTCATACATATATGATCACAAAGAGGTATTGAACATTTATATCGTTTACTTTCTGGAACAAACTGTGGAAATACATCTGTTTTAAAATTGTCATCTGGGGCTACTTCAACAATTTTCTTATCAAGTTCATCTCTTTTCATCTGTAAATTAGTGAAAATAAAAGTTGTTGGCTCATTAAAAATATAGATATATATAACAGTTCACATTAAAATTGAAATTTTTAAATTAGATTCTAAAAACTTAATTATTTTAATTTTAGGTGACTTAGTTTTGAAGTAGGAGTACCCAAAATGTATATGTTTAACCTATAAACATAGATGTTAAATTTAGTTTATGATATTAATACCTATTAACTAGTATAAAATCACTGAAAAAAAACAAAATAAATTGAGTCAAAGCATACTCTATTCGATACATTTTTAAGATCTTTTTTTAAAGATTTAAGAACTTATAAATGATCTATGATTGTAAAATCAATCTCCAAAACTTAATATTTATCAATAAACTATTTTAAATTTGTTTAAATTTTAACACAACTAATTAAAAGGTTAAAACTTTAGAAATTTTTTACTATTTTTTTTTATACTATATTCAAGCTAAGAAACATATTTGGTGGTCAACTTATGTGCAGAGGTGTGGCATTCTTACACAATAAGTATAAAGACGGTTAATTTAGTGGAATAACAAACACATGAAGCCTGATAGCTACCCAAATGACCTCCATCCCCCAATTTAATAAATTATTTTTTTTAAGCATACCAATTCCATAATTCAAAATATATCACATATTTTTTAACTTTAAATTAGTATTTTATTTTTGTTAAGTTAATAATGGTAAAAAATAAAAATGCACACAAGACAGATATAAAAATAATAATAAAAAATTAAAACAAACTGTTACCTTATCAGTATTCATAGCATCAAATGAACTAGCAGAGAGATTTATCATCTTGTCAAACATAAGTTCAGACTTCCCAATAGAAGGTACAGGATTAACAATTTCTTTAGTAGTGTTATCTTGTCCTTTAATATGTCCATTCAAATGTAAAATTAGATTTGAACGCACCTTTGTATTGTATGTACATAATGAACAGCCAATCAGATCTGAGAATATATGAGACTTAGGAATACTGTCAATAGTATCAGGAGAAAAACACAAGTTTTTTGTTTTGTCTTTGATAAGATGTTTTGTTTTTGGTAATCCTTTCTGGTAACCAAAATTCTAATTTAAAAAAAAAAAAAAAAAAAAAAAAAAACATTCAGTTAAAATCCTAAATGGCTTAATTTAATTTAGACACTACAAAATTTAAGCAATATACTAAAAATAAAAAAATTACTTACAGTAGAACGTTTTCTTTTCAAGGTTGTAATTTGTTGTTTATTTTGTTGAGGTATTAAAGAATTGTCAGAATTATTAACATCATTTGGTAGTTCTTGCATTGTTTTATAAAATTTACCATCAAAATCTAAATTTTGCTCGGTATTATGAACAGCCTTCATATGAGACATAATAATTTTACGAGAGTTGCCCTTAAATGAACACTTGTTACATGAAAACAAGTTATGAATTTTTTGTTTCTTCTGCTCAACTATTTTATTCTCATATACAATAAAATTATCTTTATTCAAATCAGTTAAATTAGAACGTTCAGGGACAAAATCTAAATTTGTAATTCCATGACTATTTTTCATATGATGTGTAATAGCACGCTGAGATGGTACATTTAAACTGCATAAATAGCATTTGAAACGATCAGGTCCATGAAGTTTGATATGTTCACTCATGTTTAATGGAGTCTTAAATACTTTAACACAATACATACATTTCTGTCCAGCAACACTATCCCAAAAAGGACATACATTTAGATGTGCATGATAAATGTCACCATTTGAGAAAATTTTTTCTACAACATAATTATTTTAAGTAAGTAACAAAACTCTTATTTATTAAAAATTAAAAAGAATTTGACTAAATACTTACCACATTCTTTACAGACAAATAATTTATCTAATTCAATAATTGGAAATGCCAATCGTTTAACCTTAATAGATCCATTGGTTGATTCTCCTTTCTCTAAACACATTCTTTTTTTTGGACTCTCAAGCTCTTCTTTTTCTAACAAATTAGTTTCATCTTCATCATCAATAACAATAACATCATTATTTGATGACACTTTTCGCTTTTCTTTGTTTTTAGATTCAGACCAAATACAATTTATTTTTAATGATTCTTGCATATCATTTTCATTTACATCATCAATCATGATAAATTCATTATCAATAGCTAATGGTAATGATGTACTACTTTCTGCCATTTGTGCACTATCAGGAACTGTAATAACAATTGTATCTAAAGGTTGAGATCCTTCATCAATACAAGCAGATTTCATAGCTACTGAAAGAACATCAGAACACTCTACAGATCTTTTTTTAGATTTCTGTGGCAAAACTTCAGGTAAAGAAGAAACTGTATCCACTGGTAAATTTACTACTTCAATCATTCCATTTTCAATAACTTTTTTCAATTTTAAAATTTTCAAATTTTTAATATTTTTAGAATCCTGCAATGATAAGTATTTAAATAATTAAAAATATTTCATTGATATGGTTATTTACTGATTCTTTTTATTAAAAATACATACACAATTATCAGATACCGTAGAACGCTCCAAGCATAAAGGCTCATATTCAAAATGTTCAAATGCTAAATGCTTTATCATTGAATCAATAATTTCACAACCAAATAAGCAGAAAATACATTGATATTTATTTAAGTTATGAAGTTTGAAATGCTGAAAAAATAATTAATTAACTAACATTTTATTTTAAATGTGAATCTAAAATATAATTTTAATTACTCTATCTTAAAATTACATGATTAACAAATGGATTTGGTCTCATAAGTAAATATATTAGTAACATGCCTATATGTATATAATTCAATTGATAAAAAAAAAAAATAAAAAGCACTACATACAATTATAATTTGAAGGTAAACCCTGACAAATGACAAAACGAGTAAAGATAATTTTAAAATAAACAAATAAACCAATGTAAATATTAATAGTTAAAAATTAAGGGTTCTCTTATTAATTAAATCTGACACATGCTTACCGTAATCATTAAATTTGATTGTAGAGCAAAAAATCCTTCACCATCATCTTTATTATCACAAATATAACAACAAAATTTATCACATAATTGATGTTCTTCATTCAAATGATCTATAAATTCGTTATGTAGATAACAAGAAAAAGCACAGTAACCTTAAAAAATCAGAGTTAAAATAAACTTTATTAATGATCTATAAAGAATAAAATGCAATTTATATTGTTATCAAAAAATAAAAATATTTCAATATAATTTATACATATTATCATAATTATCATAATTACACTTATAAACAAGACATTCGACCACACGATATCGTTTAGCGGCCATATCCCTTATAGGACAATGTTTACAATGATACAACTGATAACAGTTACAATCTTATAACATTTCCCATCTGACTGCACTAGTGCTACAATATGGTAATTATCATTACCTATGTAGTAGATAACACAAACTTCATACTTCATATGATAAAGTATAGATACAATTTTATTGTATTTACTAAGGGTTAGGCGTTGAAAATAACATCATGAATTTTGATGAATCGCAAACGCGATTTGATATCACCTTAAAATTGTAAATTAACTTGGACAATATACTCCACTACATATTACATGCACTATAATATAAAAATACACCCTTAGGGTCTTAGAATGATGTGTAGATTCAGATCACATACAAATATTAATATCACATTACAAAACATTGTATACATGATATAATAAAGGATGCTAAATGTTCACGTTTAACGCAAATTGATTAAACAGATGGAAAACGTTATCTGATCCACGAGAATATACATTATGTGGTTGCCAGATGCGTAATGAGTAAGGAGTAACAATCCTTGTTTAAGCAGTATCAAAATAATATGTTCTTATCAAATTAGACAAGACTGACTAATTATTAGCGCTTTTGACAAAACCTAGATATACATACCCATTACCCAGACATTAATAAATAAACTGCCTGTATCCCTGAAGTCCACACTCCATATTCGTTGCCAAGTACAAACATAGTTTAAAAAAATAGACAATACCTATGCATAGTGAGAACTTACATGCTTATTTTTTTTTCTAAAAATATTAATATTTATTCCGGACTTACATTTCTTTCTCTCACTTAAAACGGGTAAAGATGGTCCTAAAGAATAGAAGTATAGCTATAATTAAGCATTAGATACTGAAGTTATCTGTTTAGATCTATAAATAATTCATAAATATTCTTATCGATTCTTTTATGGATTTCAGAGTCATTAACAAATGAAAATATTTAAACGAAATTTCAGCGACCTATTTTGTTCATCAACTAAATTTATTACACATCAGAACTATTATAGTCATTAGTATTAATAATTCATTATTTTATGAGCTAGTTTGGGTTATTCCAACAATTTAGGAAATTGTGAAATAAATAATTATAATTGGAATATCAAATTACATCTGCAAGTATCACAAGGCATAAATTTTATATATAATATATATATAATATAAAAAAAGGGAGTCGTGCAGCGTCAGCTATAATATAATACAATATAATAATTTTAAATGTACCTTGCAACTGAAGTCAAAATATACAATGGATGAGGTGTTAAATTAAAAATAATTTATTACACATGAAAAACGATTCTGGGCGAAATGTTAATAGCTTCTTTTCCTAAGGATATTTAATAATTTATTTATATTACTTTAAGTAAATTGTCTCTTAGCAGCACGTTACTATGGTATGTTTAACAAAAACAATATTGTATAATATTAACTCACGAGTCAAGAGTCAATACTACATACGCCAGAACAGTGCGAGTAAGTTAGTGATTTAAATAGCTACTAATCTTGTAATCTATTCATTGTGTATAAAAATAATAATATAATCAATAAGTAATGGCAAACAATTTCCAAGTTTCTAAAATTAATATTTTTTGAATTACCATAAAACTAAAATCGTAAATTTTCGTTTAAATATTTTGTCAAAATAAACTATGAATATATTAACAGAATACTGCTTATGTGTTATAATTAAGTATATAGTTCATGATAAACCTTGCACATTACATTTTCAAATGATTTAATATTTTATAAGTTTTTAATTACATAATATTCTATACATTTTTGTGATTTCGAAGAATTTTGTTCAATTTTTTTTTTTTTTAATACTCAAGTATACATGGAACTAAATATAATCTAGTATTTGTTTTCAATTAATGTATATTAAATTATAAAATCTTTATCAAGTAATGTATTTTGGACGAAAATGGGAGTTTAGGCGGATAATTTCCAGGGGTACCAAATTATAATTCCTATTTAAAAAGACGGATGCTTGAGGTTTGAAGTGCATAATACTACCAAACGCAAATAACTAATTATTTTTTTTTTTTTTACTATACATTAAATTATTTTACAATTTAACATGTATTAATAAAATATTCGTAAAAATAAAATAGAAATTCGAGTTCAAAAGTAAAATTTTAGCTGTATTCAAACTAGTTGCATTCAAAAAATAAAATCCAAATTACTACCCAAGGGGTTTTTGAACGGTTTATCCATATCGTATTAAATACTTATATACTTATATCTTTCGTGGTAGCTCAATTAATATTTACCATGCCTGTTTAGTGTTTATACTTTTAATATTACTGTTGCCATTTATAAATAATAAAAAATGTAACGTAGATGACATTTTATTGTTCTTCAATTTAAAATGTCTATTATATATTATATTATTGTTCATTATTTAATAATTACAATTAAATATTAATAAATTTGAATTTATATAAAAAAAATTTCCAATAAAAACATTTTTTAACCTACCTGTAAATACACTAACACAGTCAGGATGTATAATTATGAAAAAAAAAAATTATACTCCATAATACTTATAGATTTAATTTAATATTTTGAATTAGATGTACGCTAAAATAACATGGACAACAATTAATATATATGATAAAATACTATGGCTATAATTAGTATTAGCTTTAAAAAAAAGCTGGACTACAATTCAGAAAGGTTTTTATCACAATATTTTTATAATTTTATAGGATTTTAGTTTTACTACCAAATTTATGATAAAACTCGAGGTATTCATGGTATTGTAAGAGACTATAACACATAGCACCTTATAATTATGTCTTTGTAGTTAAATGATAATGGAAATAGAAAGAACTCCGCTGTAAACCTAGATTATACCTATATTTCTTAAGCCACTGAATACATACAATAGGTACTCAAATTTCAAATTTAATCTTAAAACTAATCAATCCATAAAAATAGAAAAACTTACCAACACTACATTTGTAAGGTAATACAAAGTCCTTGAAGTCTACTACCATTAACATTTCTTTGGGGTATTTACAAGCGTCATCATTATATTCAAGTTTTATTATAGAATGTTTGGATATCTTGGTATGTATTATAGACTGAAAATTAATAAATATTTTTATTTAATGAAATTGTGTTATTAAAATTATAGATAAAAATATTACCTGGTGAACCAAAACATGAGAAGCAGTATAAGCACGATAAAAGCAATAAGGGCAAAAATATTCACAAAAAGTGTAATTATCAACTATATGATTAGCCAAAGACTCTTCATCATCAAACATTTTAAAGCAGTAGGCACACATTTTAAACTGTTCAACATTGTAAATTTGGTTTTCTATAACACGTTAAGATTAATAAGAAAAAATATTATTTTTTATAATAAAAGATAGTAATAAAACTTTTTACTTTTTTTTTTTCTCTGTATTTGAAAAATGTAATTTCATATGTAATTTGAATAGTTCTTTTGAATTAAAAATTTTTGTGCAAGTTCGGTCCATACATTTAAAAAGACCTAATAGTCTTGGTAAAGCAGACATTTCATTAAAAGCTAATTTTGTTTTCATCACATTCATTGGCAAATCTCGAACTTTTTTATCATAATCTTTTGTGTATGTTGTGTCTATCAAATAAATTGTACTATCTATGGGTATACCATTATTAACAATTTGTTGTCCTGCTTCAAGAGATATTTCTGAACTTGGTGGAACAAGTTCACAACTTGTCTTCGTTTTCATCCACATATTGAGATCATTATTACCAGATGCACTTGAGATAATTTTTAAAGCGTTTACTTTATCCTAAACAGACAGTAAACGATTAAAATAAATTAGAAATACTAAATTGTATATTTTTTTAATAAGAAAATTATATACCTTTTTTAAATTTTCAACATCAAAGTTGCATGAACTTAACGGAAACCTTCCATCATTAGAACCATGATTAATGTTTAGATTCACTAAAAATATATGAAAAAAAAAAAACAGCCACATTAACAATTTATTTTACTTAAAATCTATTGTATTTAATTTACAGCCATTTGCAATTTCTGATATATAGTTCTGATAACAACTTATATTATAATACAAATCAATACAATTTTTTTCTCTAGAAATTGTAAGATAATCAAAAATTATAGTTTAACATTTTGTACATTATACAAGAAATTAGTAATTAATATTAACATACTACATCCATTTATTTTTAAGTATTCTCGAAATAATTTTGATTTAATACCACATACTTATAAAGCCACTAGTTTTGACATAAATAATTTATTTTACATAACATGAGTTTAAAATTTCTAACTGAAATAAACTTGGAACAAACCTGATGTTTCATCACACTGGTTACTAAGCAACATATGGCTAGATTGTTCAGAGTTTTCAAATACATTGTGTTTTATAAAATCTAAAGGAGAAAATAAATTTAAATTAAATTTTAAAATTACATAAATAAATGTAATAATCAACATAAATCCATAATATTTAGTAAATAAAGACATTAAAATATTTATTTCTTATCATAGAAAATATATAATATTATTGAAACTCTAATTATATTATAAAATATTTTTGAAGTCTAAGTAGAGGTAACAGAAGTTTTAAATTTTTTGTACACGGAGATGTGATTGAAGGCGCTTATGAAATGTATTTATCTTTGTCAAAAAAAACCTCAAGAAAGTGTGAAGTTCAATCATCTTGATAACATTTTACCACATTATACTCTATTTAAGTTAAAAAGAATATTTATAAGCACCTCATTTTTTATATCATATTATTTTATGATAATATAACACCCATGAGCATATATTGGCCACCAAATTTAGTTCTTGAATATATTAAAGTAGATTATTGAAAATTAAAAACCACACTTTTCCCTGGAATTTGAAAATCTAATTCATATACTCGTTCAGTACATTATTAAGAATTTTAATCATGATTTGTTTCCAAAGGTTTGAAATTCGAAAAATAAACATTAAAGCTAGTAAAATTTATACCAAATAAATTTTAAATCTTATCTAATTAATATAAAATTTTAATAAACAAATAATATAATAACTAATTATTACCATTTTTGTTAATGGAATTTGTATCATCATTTGGTGGGTTATTAACGGGCATATCACAAATATTGCTTATACTTGAATCACTAGGCTTATCTATATAAAAACCAAAACAAACACAAATGTACAGAATTTTTGTATTAAGAAATTACATTTAATTAAATACTTTATTTCAAATATGTTAGAATTTGTATTACATTTTAAGTGAATCATACATACTGGTTATTAATATAATAATAAAAATCTACACCAAATAGCTATACAAAAGAATTTTAGATTTTATAAATTGAGAAAAATTTAAATTTTAGTAAGCGTGAATTGTAAGTAATATAAGATAAGTTTTAAAAAAGTTATGATTGTACCATAAAACAGGTGTGGAGTTTGTCAAAGGAGTACAAATCTAAAATAATATGGGTCTTTTCAAATGTAAACTGAAGAATAATAATAATTATATAAAACTTAACTAAATAGTATTATTGTTCACCAATCATTTTAAGTAAGTGTTTTTTTTTTCATCTATATAAATTAATAATACTTATTATGATCTGTACTTAATAATTTATAACTTTGTATCTTTAGAGGACATTACATTCAATTTATAGTATCCATCTTTCTAGTACAGTGTTTCCCAACCAGTAGTCCGTGGGCCAGTTATAGGTGGTCCGCGGTACCTTTCTTCGTTTTCTATTAAAAATTATTTTTTTTTTAACAACGAAAAATATTTTATTTTACCGTAATATACGGTTATCTTATTGTTGTTTCTGCCGACGACCGATAAGTATTTTCTACTTTTATAAGTGTCTCTGATACCTATCAGAGTAATAAATTACTACTATTATCACGACTGATAATGATCATGTCAATTTCAAACATCGTTGCTTATATATTTATACTTTATGAGTACCAACAAATAACTGTTATGGATATTGATTCAGTATGCGCTCGTTATTCGTTTGATTACCACGCAGTACGTTTTGAAAATTAACATTTTTCGATAAATTTTGTGTATTCTTGTTAATGAGTAAAAAAAAGCTATTCCTAGTTTGCGTAAAATTGAGGTGATCCGCGACCTATAAAATATTGTCGAAGTGGTCCGTAGTGGTAAAAAGGTTGGGAAACACTGTTCTAGTATGTAACATAGCAAATCTACACTTAGCAGTTCACATTTAATTTTGTTAACTTAGATTTAATCAATCTATTATGAAACTTGATAGTAAAAACTAAATCTGTGTTTGTATGTAATTTTTATAAAAATAATTCTGTTTTTATGCAAATTATAAACATTATTAAACTACAATACTTTGTCTACACAATACTTGATGAAAAATGAAATTATTGTAAAATGCCCGCAAATGAACATTAATTAAGTTCTTATCATAAAGTTTCATAATAGACTGATTTACTCTAATATTAAAGCTAACAAGCTAAATGCAAACTACTGAACATAGATTTGCTGTTACGCATTTGTAAAGACAGAGACAACAAATCAGATATAGCGTCCTCCTTAAATTGTATAACTTAATTACAGTGGAACCTCGATAACTCAAACTTCTATAAGTCGAATTTTCGATAACTCAAATTTTTTTTTCGCCCCCAACCGACTCAAGTTATCGAGGTTCCACTGTATTATTTTTCTAATAAGCAAATAAAATATTTCTAATTTTTTATTATTGATATAAATTATTTATGGTTGATATTTTCATAATTAATATTAAATAAAATTCTTCATTAACTTTTATTTGTATTAATTATTCTGTTTTTTTTTTTTTATTAAACTTAAGCTTGGCGACAAGAGCTATTAGCTGTTGTAGGGGTTATTAACTGTGTAAGGGGTAAGGTTGGTACGGTAGGTTGTTTTTTACGATTGTTACAGCTGATGGCAAATACGTGTATGTGTGCCAAAGTTTTTAACCACTATGATCCCGGTGGTCACCCATCCGGGAGCTAGTGGCTGTAGCTGTTACTTACTCCCAGTCACATTCCGCAACTGGTAGCAGCCAACGCGCCACACTAAGCCACAATTATGCTATTTATTAAAATATATTAAGGTAATTAAAAAATATATAAATATTTTTTTGCAGTTTTAATAAAAAAAAGTCATTAAGTCATCTTTTTACTTATAAATAATTTTTATTGTTTATTTATAATATAAAATTATGAGATTAATAATAAAGCGATTGTTGTTACCCTGACTAAAGTTATTAACAAATATCAGTTTTGATACATATTTAAATGCATGGAAAATTTTGACAAGAAAATATTTTAAATACTTTATTTGAATAGAGGTCTCAATGAAAGTTAACATGGCATTGATAATATACACATATATATGTGTTTCAATAAGCTTCATAGACGTATTTTACTACTACTATAAGTTACTGTTTACTTACAATTAGTATGTACACTTTTTTGACATTCAATTAAATGACAAGATACTAAATGTTCTAGAGCATTTTCCATGTATAGATAATTATAATTTCTCCAAAATCCACATCCGCAAATACTGCACATTCCATTCCAACTGGTTAACTTATGATATGATTGGATATGTTTTACAAAATCATTGTAAATTATTGTTGAACATGTATTTGGACATGATTCATCAATACATTGGAATAATAACATATTATTTATTTTTTTACAACTGACATTTCCTATTATTCCCTCTGTTAAGTCATTTTTTAAGTCAAACAAACGACTATCTTCAAATAAATTTGATTTTTCTTCACTTGTCATTGAAGTTTTACCTTAAGAGCATTACACATTTATTATTTGCATGATATACATACGACAGTATTAATATTATGACATTGTAATATTTTTTAAGTGTGTAATATTTTTAGGAAATAAAAGAGATTTATAATATTAATACAATTATTAACAAAATAAACTATATCATACTAGAGTAATTCATAGGACTCAAAAAATATAAAAATTAAGATTTTTAGGACAAAAATAAAATAAAAAATGTGTATTAAATATTCAACAAAAAAAATACTATTCATTAAATTACAATTAATGTACTACTATATTAGTTTATTTAGTATTACAATGAAGTATTGATTATTTCTACTAATTGGGACTAAGGGGGGTAAGGATAATCAATCAATGATTAAAAATATATAATGAACACAAATTGAAATGTTTTAAATAGTTAAAAGCATAACAAATAATGTACTGGATTTTAATTTATAATTTAATAAAAAAATTTAATACACATTATTAACAAGCTGGAAATTAACATGCAGATAATCAACGCTTTACTGTACAAGTTACTACATATTATTATTGAAAAAAAGTGCACATACAAATTAATGAAAACTTTTTCAAAATAGTTGTAATGATATTTTTTTTATTATTATTATTATTAAATATTTCAAAGACAATTAATTTTTTAATTAACTTATAATATTTAAAATTAATTTAACCATCAAAATGATTTTAAAAATATTATTTAAATTAAAAACTGAATAATGCTTAATGTGCTAAAAAAACAATTTCCTGTGACCACTTAAAAGTTTTTAACTAAAATTGTGCTATAATTATTCCATTTCTGCACACATTCTCTTAATTTTGAAATTAATATAGTTGAAACAAACTTGTGTTAAAATATCACTTAAAATATTTAAGATTAAAATCTTAAAATGCTTTAATTTAACAATAATACAATAATATCAAATACTTAAAAAATAGAGTATTATTAAAGTAAAACATCAAATTAAAACAAATATTTACCAAAACATATTAAGTTTAATTAAAACTGTTATATTCTATAATTATTTTAAAAATAAGTTATAAAATATCTGAAATTAAATTTGAAACAGTTTGAGAACATCTATAATACGAAAAACCAAGTTAAAATAATACACAAATAAATAACAATTTAAATGAATATTATTGCAAACCAATTATATAAACTATATACTACGAGTTATGACATTCATATTTTATATGTACCTATATAATTAGTTAACAAATGTATGTTTTTGATTTATAAAAAATGCATAACTCATACTTTAGAAGAAATATTGGTATCTACAAACAAATGGTTTAAAATACAATGTTTCAAAATTTTCAAGCCACCTTTAATTATAATTTGTATTAGGATATATTATATTATATTGTATGAATATTAATCAATTTTTTTTTTCAATTGTTATTTTATTAATTTAATAGTTTTAAAAATGATTCAATGACTTAAAATAGCACAAAAGAGCAAACAAATAAAAGCAAAAAAAAAATAATAAATTAATCTGTTAAATGTTTTGCATTGCAAATATCTGCTAGTTTAAAAGCATGATCATACAGTTATAATATTATTTCACTATAAAGAAAAATAAAATGTATACTTACGAGTGGATAATGAATCACCAGGTAAACGTGAACAACGAACTCTAATTAACTTTTCAACAATTGGTGTATTTTTGAACATGTTTTGACATACAGAAGATAAGCTTTGGTCACTCTTTGAACCTCCAAAATTCACTAAAAAACATAATTATATTAGACTATGAAACTTTACAAATATTAAAAACATAATTAAGATTTATATACTCATATGATTGGGTTGTTCATTATTCTTTAAAACCAAATGATGAGAAATTAAGTGTTCTAACGCATTTTTTACATAATATTGTTTAGAAATCAACTTGAAGTTGTCATGACATGTTTCACACTTTCCATCCCAAACTACAAGTTGGTGATTCTGATTGATATGCTTGAAAAAATCAATTAAAACTACAGTTGAAAATTGATTTTCTAGGCAATTTAACACTGAGCATTTGAACAATAATATTGAATTTATCAATTCACAACTTAAACCAGCCAAAGCACATTTTGTAGAATTTTCTTTTAATGTGTATTCAGAATTTAGAAGACCGGACTCTTCTGTGCTGATTTTTGTTTCATTTGTAAGAGCTAATCAAATAAAATAAAATTTAAATAAATATCAATAGTCCTTAAATATTTACTTACATTGAAAAGCTTGTTCTGGAAACAATTTAAATGTATTAGATTTTGATTGATTTTTGTTAATAACTGATTGCAAAGGATTCATAACAATTACTGACTTTGGCAGATTTTCATCAACTTTTGACTCTGAAGGAGTTTTGACAACAGCTAACTTTGCTGAATTGTTATCAATAGTTAAGTCTGGTGGATTTTCAAAAATAGATAATTCTGATGAACTCTCATCAATAATTGACTCTGGTGGAATTGTATTAAT